GACCTTTGGGGGGTGGGTAGGATCCAGACATCCAGATGCACAAGCTGGGTCTCCCTCCTGGCTGTTTTAACAACCTGTGTTGCCATTAACCTCTTCAAAAGAGCCCCTTGTAAACATGGGGCAGCAATGACCTTACGGTCTGGGATCTCACACCTTTCTACTTAACTAGGAAGAACCCTGCACCTTGGTCTTCTTGGCCTCTCCCCACTGCTCCACCTTTAGAGGAGGCCTTCTGAAGCTTAGAGGGACCTAGCGAGACTCACACTCTGAGAGCCTAAGCTCCACTCTTCTGTCTCCCAGGCTGCACTGCAAAATTGCAGGCTTCACTCAGATGCTGTGCACACAAAGACTGAGCCCATCAGACAACAGATTAAGGAGAACCAGACAGAGTGAGAGCTAGAGAGTGAAACAAACTTGTAGGCCAGATTTGATTTAAAATCAAAACAGAATTGGAAGAGATTTTAAAAATACTCTTTCAGTACAGTTTCTAAAACATTTTATTCTTTTGATATTCACTTTTGTCTGATCATAAAAGTAAACTATGCAGAATCTCTGCACTTCCATATATGGAGAAACAGACTTGGAAAGCTGAAATGACTTTCCTAAGGTCATAAAACTACCTGGCTATGGACTAGAACTTCCAGTTTCCATCTCTCAGACCATTGCCCCCCTGACAGGAAGTAGGAGGCAGCAAAGGGAGGAAAAGTCTGGGCTGCATTGCTCAGAGAATTCACTTCAAGATGTGACTCACCTATCCAGGTGGGTTAGGGCTCTTCTCAGGTGAAACTGGTGTTGATCCTCATCCCAAAGACCACAGTCCTGTATAAGCTAACAGCGCCAGGCCCCACAGCACTTGTCTGGGCCTGCAGTTTTGTCTTGAAGAGGCTTTGGGAGCGACACGCTACTTTTTTTTTTTTGCCATAGTTTTATTGATAAACAAATAGCAATGAGACAGTTTCAAATCAAATCGGTAGGACAGTTTCAATAACACACTGCATACATTCTTCTTAGTGGTTAATTGCTGTATAAGATGCGGACTTGATATCCTATTTACAAGCACCATTAGAACAAATCATTCTACTCATTAACAGAATGTAACTATATATCTAACGCTACTTTTTTTTGAGACACGATCTTGCTATATAACCCCCGCTGGCCTTGAACTCACTCTGTAGGCCAGGCAGACCTCAAACTTTATGCGATCCTCCTGGCTCGGCCTCTCAAGTACTAGGGTTACAGGTGTGCACCACCATACCTGGCAGTGACATCTTATTTGGACAGAGTGCTGTTCTTTGTAAACTGTAGAGTGATGGTAGTTAAGGACAGGCGGGGGCTGGAGAGATGGCTCAGTGGTCTAAAGCACCTACTCGGAACAAGCTTGGCAAAGCACAGGGACCGCGGTTCAATCCCCCAGCACCACATGCCAGCGAGCCGCGCCCCCTGGTGGGCTGAGCTGGCCACACATTGGCCTATCCTTGGAGGATTTCCTGTCAAAGGGAGTCTGACACAGCCAGCCCTGTGCAGAGGAGCATAAAGGAAATGGTCAGGAAAGAAGCACTGTCCAGATACGAATATACAAAGTGAATCACTTAGCAGTACAAATACAGCTAAGTGAATCACAGAGTAGAGACCCTAAACACAACCCAACCAGAAAAAGCGCACTTGCAAATGTAACAGCAAAGGCACTGTTGCTCAGTAAAGTCCACTTGCACTGAGAAGTCTTCCTGCTTTTATTACTTTTATTCCTCTCAGCTTTCACCTTATAGAAACATAACCCCATGCTGGTGAGATGGCTCAGTGGTCTAAAGCACCAACTTAGAACAAGCTTAGCAAAGCACAGGGACCACGGTTCAATCCCCCAGCACCACATGCCAGCCCGCCCCGCCCCCTGGTGGGCTGAGCTGGCCACACACACACACACAAATAAATAAATAAAATTAAAAAAAAAAAACATAACCCCCTTCCCTTTTCTCCCTCAGTGCCTCCAGCTAATATGTAACAGCAATGTTCTCTCTCTCTCTCTCTCTCTCTCTCTCTCTCTCTCTCTCTCTCCTTTTATGTATTTGGTACAGAGTCTCATTATGCAGCTTGGACTTGTAGTGATCCTTCTGTCTCATCCTCACCAGTGCTGGGATTACAGGCATGTCTTGGTTTCTGGGGCCAGCATGGTGCTCCCAGGGTTCTGAGGCCGGTAAAACATGCAGTACCAGGATCAAACCCGGTTCTTTGTGCTTGCCAGGCAGGTGCTTAGACTGCTGAGCTATCTTGCCAGCTCTGCTGGCACTCTTTATGGATCTGTTTTAATTAGATTATATGTTTGTCCTTCACAATCCTATCCAGGACTGGAGATGTGGCTCAGCAGTAGAGTGTTTCTCTAGGCACTAAATTAAATCCCCAGTACCACCTAAATTAATTAATTAATTAATTCAATTTTCTCCATATTTATCTTGTACATGCTCCTTAGCTATGGGGCCTACCTACTCCTGAACTAAGGAGTTCAGCAGTCCAAAAAGGCTTCTTGGAGGAAGTGGGATTTCAAGAGCTCCACAGAGAGGTAGAGCGGTGGGCTGAGGGAGAGTGCTGACCTATTCTGGCACAGAGATTTTAGAGTGATAATCGGAGCAGGAGGGAGGAGTGCATATGAACCAGAAAGAGGGTCTGAGGCATGGCAAGGTGAAGGGCAAAGAGGGGGGCAATGAGACCCTCTGATGAGACACCTCATTTGGGAACCCTGAAACAGAGGAAAAAATTCTTGATTCTGACCAAGAGGACAAAGGGAGGTTATAGCTGGGCCTGGGGTAGAGTTAGCATAGCAGTGATATCTGTGCGATTTTGTACCACATGACACCAGCACTAGGCCTTATGTCAGTGAGGGACTCCTGAGAGCAGAGCTGGGAGGATCCACATGCCCAGAGTTTTCGCCAGAAACTCAGTCTCTGTGGGGCCTGTCCTTAACTACCAGTGAAGCCAACTGTGCCTTGGGTGTCAAATGAAGGCTGACTCTGAAGGCCTTATAGGAGGAAGTAGGGCCAATTACAGGAGCTGAGAAGAAGGAACACTTTCCAGCAATTCTGTGTGAGTGTGTGTGTGTGTGTGTGTGTGTGTGTGTGTGTGTGTGTAGGTGGGTGAGAGGTTCAGCAGGTCAGCTTGAGCCTCAAGACAGTGGAGATCTGATGCAAGGAAGCTGGACAGACCCTATTAAGGCCTCCCAGGGAAAAGGTACAAGTTTGTGTGTGACCCTGGCCACAGTAAATGTGCAGGGAGTCAAGACAAACAAGCTGCAGATCTTCAAGAAGGGATGTGTGAGCCAGAGCTGTGAGGTGGCTGGGAAAAGCTGAGGCCTCTGGTGGCTAGAGCTGCAGTCTGAGGGGACTCTGATGTGTACATATACTGGCCCTAAGAAGATCAGTGGATTCTTGGAGTGTGTTTGGTCTATGGCAGCAGGGAGGCAATTCCAGAGACAGGTCCAAGGATTTTACTGAATTCACAGGGAGAGCCTGCTCTCCCCATTAAACCTATTCTCTTGCCCAAAGTCTACTTAAGAAATGAAGACCCGGGCCAGGGCTCAGTAGAATAAGCGCTTGCATGGCAAGTGCAAAGGCCTGAGTTCAATCTCCGGTTCCACAAAAAAAAAGAAAAAAAAAAAAAAAAGACTCCTGGGTAGCCACAGATAGCAGGAAAGAAAACTGTTTATAAGGCATACAGAACAAATCCAGAACTAGAGTCCAGAAACCAGGACAGTGGTCCTAAGGGCACTGAGGAGAGAATAGACAGACCCAGAGAGACGTAGGTAGGACGCAGGCTAAAAGGTCACCACTGGAGCTGGGGACCTGAGTAGCAGGGAGCATGTCATAATAAAACTCACCTAGGGCCAGGGATATAGCTCAGTGGCATAAGCACGTGCCTCGAAAGCACAAGGCCCTGAGTTCGATCCCTGGTTCCAAAAAATAAAACAAAATAAAGTAAAACTCACCTCAAACTGGACCAAGAACTGGGATAGAGCCTGGGTCAACTTTGTGGGCCTTTATTCACACAGAAGAGCCCAACCACTGTCCAAGCCTGGGAATACCAACGGATCCAGTTTCCAGTGTTTTTCCAAGAACCAACTGTCCAACACTCACTTGAGTGTTGGTGCCACTGTGTTGATGGGGGATAACCAAGAGGATCTGCCCAAGTCCCAGCGCCACACAGCTCAACTGCAGAGAATCAGGTTGGCAAACAGGTATCCGGGACAAATCCTGAGGGTCTTGCTTCTCTTCCTGCCCCTCTTCGCTAAGAAAGACCCCCAAGGAAGCAGGTTCTGACTTGCAGGAAGTCTTAGCTGCCATCTCCCTCCACCAACAAGAGGAGCAAGAATGTGCCTGCGGCCCCCTCCCTAATGGCCTAGGGGTGAAGATAGGCACTCCACGGAGGAAACCCAAGAGTCCCATCGTTCAATCAGATTGGAGGAATTAACGCAGCGGGACTCAGCTGGGACCCGGGAGTCGGGATGAGGGCACTCGTTGCCACGCGACACCCCCTATACACACACCCAAAGATGGGGGGGACCTGTTTCCCTGGCTTCTCCGCTACGGCAACCCGGTGCATCAAAGCAAGCTGACCCACAGCCCTAGGACCTGGAGTAGGTGGGAGCAGCCTTCCACCTCACCTCCTCTGCTCTGACTCTGGGTGACTCTGAAACGACATCCACTTCCTCCCCCTTACCCATTTCCCCCTTCGGGTGAAGGGAACGGACCTAGGACACAGGGTGGGATATAAGGCGGGACCTAGGGTTGCCATGCGAGATTCTATTGGTCAGAGGAGCTGCCGGTCAGAAGAGCAAGTCGGGCGAGGATTGGCTGTATGAGGTGGGGCGCGGCTAGGCGAAAGAAGGGGCCCAAGGGGTGGGGCTGACGCTGCAGCTGGCGCAGCTCAGACTCCGAGCCGCCAGCAGCTCCTTCCCTTGCCAGCACGCGCGCCCGGGCCGGGGCTAGGCCCCCCACGCCGGGTCCCCCGGGGCTGCAGCAGCAGCGGCGCCGCCCAGGGCTCCCGCCAGGGCCCGGGCGCCGGCCCCGCTCTGCAGGATGGGCACGGTGCTGTCGCTGTCCCCTGCCTCATCGGCCAAGGGCCGGAGGCCCGGTGGGCTGCCAGAGGAGAAGAAGAAGGCGCCGCCCGCGGGGGACGAGGCGCTGGGGGGCTACGTGGTCCCGCCAGCCAGCAAGAGCGGCAAAGGCGAGAGCCGGCTCAAGCGACCGTCAGTGCTCATCTCGGCGCTCACCTGGAAGCGCCTGGTGGCGGCGTCCGCCAAGAAGAAAAAAGGCAGCAAGAAGGTGACGCCCAAGCCGGCGTCCACCGGCCCCGACCCTCTGGTCCAGCAGCGCAACCGCGAGAACCTTCTCCGCAAGGGCCGAGACCCCCCCGACGGCGGCGGCGCGGCCAAGCCCCTGGCGGTGCCAGTGCCCACCGTGCCCGCGGCCGCCGCCACCTGCGAGCCCCCAGCCGGGGGCAGCTCTGCCGCCCCGCCACCGGGCTCCGGAGGGGGAAAGCCGCCGCCGCCGCCTCCTGCACCGCAGGCGGCGCCGCCCGTGCCCGGAGGGTCGCCGCGCCGGGTCATCGTGCAGGCGTCCACCGGCGAGCTGCTGCGCTGCCTAGGCGACTTCGTTTGCCGACGCTGCTACCGCCTCAAGGAGCTGAGCCCCGGCGAGCTGGTGGGCTGGTTCCGCGGCGTGGACCGCTCGCTGCTGCTGCAGGGCTGGCAAGACCAGGCCTTCATCACGCCCGCCAACCTGGTGTTCGTGTACCTGCTGTGCCGCGAGTCGCTGCGCGGGGACGAGCTGGCGTCGGCGGCCGAGCTGCAGGCCGCCTTCCTCACCTGCCTCTACCTCGCCTACTCCTACATGGGCAACGAGATCTCCTACCCGCTCAAGCCCTTCCTCGTGGAGCCCGACAAGGAGCGCTTCTGGCAGCGCTGCCTGCGCCTCATCCAGCGGCTCAGCCCGCAGATGCTGAGGCTCAACGCCGACCCCCACTTCTTCACGCAAGTCTTTCAAGACCTCAAGAACGAGGGCGAGGCCGCCGCCGCTGGCGCCGTGGGTCCACCCAGCGGAGGTGCCCCCGCCGCTGCCTCCTCGGCCGCCAGGGACAGCTGCGTGGCCGGAGCCAAGCACTGGACTATGAACCTGGACCGCTAGTGGTACCCGAGGGCCGCGCCCGCCCGCTGCCCCAGCCCCCAGCACACACTCGGAGCCTCCCGGGACCCTCGAGCCACCGCCGCCGCTGTTACCGCCGCCCCAAGCATGGGCCAGGCGGAGGAGGAGCAGGGCAGGTGGAGGCCGGGACACCGGAGGATGCTGCGGTGTTTGGATTCGTTGGGCGCGGGGGGCGGGGGCGGAAAGGGCACTCCCAACTTCACCCTTTCCGTCCGTCCGCGGCCCCATCTCTCCGTTTCTGCTCGGGCCACCCCTTCCCTGCTGTGCGTGTCTGTCCCTCCATCTTCCCTGGGTTTGTCCATTTCCTCGCCCACTCGCTGCGTCTTCATCTTCCCTTCTGTCTATGCCTCCCCCTCTGCCTTTCCCTATACCTCACTGTAGCCGGTTTCTCCTACCACACCTGTGTCCCCGTCTACCCTTTCATTCTCCCTTCCCTGCTCCCATGTGTCACCATTTTCCTCCTGTCTGCCTTCTCCCTCTGCTAGTGTCATCCTGTGCTTCTTCCCTGGACTCAGTCCCTGCAGGCCCTTCTCCAGATCAATGGGACCGTTAGTTTTTAATTCGGATCGACAAGGTGCAAACTAGAAACTGCAGTCCCAGGGACCCAGACAAGCACCGGGATGGTCCTTTGCCCCACCCCCTTGCCTCTCCTACCTTTTCTAACGTGTTGCATGCCGGGAGTTGGGGAGGGAAGGGGCTGCAGGCTTCATTCTGGAGGCTGAGATTGTAGGGCAAAATCAATCTGGGAGACCACCCCGGCGGCGGCGGAACTTCAGTGGACGGGTTGGAAGAGAAGGAAAACTCTTATTCAGGGAGAGGGACGTCTCTCTTCCTTATCCTTAAGTTCTTGTTATTCCCCCATCCCTTTTAATTTATTTCGCTGTTTCCGGAGGGAGGGGGGAGGGGGGGGTTGGGTCTGGAACTGTCCAAGGTGCTGAGCGGGAGTGGGACCGGAATCCTCCCGGGAGAGTACCAGGGACTGGGTTGGGCCCGGGGCCGTGTCCAAGGTGCCAATGATGCGGGCCGACGGCACGGGCCATACTGACTGTCTGTCCGTCTGTCCCGGAGAACTATAAAGCGCTAGAAGCGCCTACAGATGGTTTTGCGCCGGCCTTTCTTTGGGCCCTGGGGAGGGTGGAAATGGGGAGATGGCATGAAATTACACCAGGGTGGCCACAGGGCAAGAGACAGTGGCTTAGGTGAGAGCGGTCAAGTCCCTGATGGCAGGTACCTGCCACCCCTTTCCTGCTCGACTTCCATTTTACAAAAAGTAAAATGAGGTAAGCAAGAGTTGAGATTGAGCATCCCCATTCCAGCCTCCATCTTGTCTGACCTAGCTCTTCATTAATGCCCAGTCCACTCAGGAAAGGGGTAAGGATAGTAGAAGTCTTTCCCCTGGTTACTCACTATTGCTATTTGCTTCCTCTCATCTCTCCTTACTAGCTAGACCTAAGTCTGTGCTCACCACCACCCCCCCGGGGCCTGACTGCCACACTCAGCCCATGCACGTGCCCACTCCTGGGCTACTTGGAGGCTGCCTAGGTCACACGCCCACCTAGGTTAGTCTTGGGAGTCCCTTCCCTGCTTGAGATTCAGACCCTGGCCCTTTATGACCTGAGAGGCCCAGATATAGGTCGAGATGAAAGGCAGAAATGGAAAACCATGCTTTGAGATCAAAAGAGAGACCCTTGCTCGGTCCCCATTGCCTCCTTAGCTACATAGCTAAGTACCTCGTTCACTGTGCTACTGGGCTAACGTGGCCTTGCTTCAGCAGAGCACTCGGGGTTTCACTGCTTGCCACTTTAGCCACGAAGACCCAGAGACAAATGGGAGGGGCGGCCAAAGACAAAGCCTCGGGCTCGCTGTCCGTGGTGCTGACTGGAGTGTTTGGGCAGGGTGGGGGCTTGAACAGGCAGAAAGAGTTGGGGACCTGGCCTCCACAAGTCTTCTGGATAATTTCGGGATATGATGTGAGCTATTTTCGCTGCGCATTACAGAAGTCTGGCCCAAGAATCCAGAAATTTTGCTTTCCATATGCCCTCTGGGAGGCAAGACTCAGCTCTCACTCGGTCTGGGCCCAGAGCTTTGGCACCCGGTCCCGGAGCCGGAAATCCTCAGTCCAGATTTGTGAATCGAGTTCCCGAGAGGGAGGGGGAGAACTGGCGGAAGGGAAGGCGGGAGCAGTCGCCCATTGGCTAGAATTTGGCGCAGTCAACGCGGTGCCGTCATCCCTCTGGGTTTGCGAGGGGGAGGGAGGATCACTTGGGTCACTCCGCTGCTGTCGCCATAGCAACCAGACTGACAGGGCGAGGCCGCTTGTCCGGCTTCCCTAGTCCCCTCTGGTGGGGGTAACAATCCTGGTTCGCTTTATTTGGGACTAGTTAGTGAGATTAGCTGCTTGATTCACGTTTCTGAGTTAGAGAAGACTAATGGGAATGCAGAGACTGGAGAGACTACAGAGATCCTAGAACATCTGGATCCTGTCCCCAAACCCAAAGATAGAGCACCTACCTTCTCATTCTACATGCTCCTGTACTCCGCCCTCCCCCAACCTGTGGTCTGACACTGAAGACTTAAAATGGTGGGAAAAATAAGCCTCTGACTAGTGTCGAGTTAAATCCCACTTTTCTTGCCAGGCCCCAAAGCATGAGACACTTCTATAATCCGATTAGATAGGGAAGGACTGGAGGAGGGTCAGCGAGAATGCGTGGAAGAATTAGCCTGCTAGGTCAGACTCTCTCAGAGAGCCCTGTATTCTCCAGGAGGAGGAGAGTAGGAAGAAGCCCTGACATGGTCTTCTGAGAAGGCAAAGGGAAAAAGTAAGTGCAGAAGCAGAGCAAGGTGCCTTCCTTTACTGCCCAGGGTGAACTTGGGGGACTGGTCAGATGGTGAAATGGACTCTCCCTAGAGAGATCCCGGCCAGCCACGGGGTAGATTAAGGAAAGAATGGAGACAGAAACCGAGCTGGGCAGTGACTCAGCACTTCCCCTGGCAAAGGGCTGGGGGGCCTGCTCCAGTGCAGGGGCAAAAAAAGAGAGAAGCAGAAGGGATCAGGGAAACTAAGGGGTGAGGAGCCAACGATGCACCCGTTTGTGTGATAAATGCGAATACACGCACCGATCTACAACCAGAGGCACACACTGTAACCCAGAAACAGGCACAATGCACATGTGTATGACAGTTCACTCAATTATAATCTATACAGACCTTCACCCCGCTCTTCCCTGTCCCTCACCTTGGAGCAGAAGACATTCTGTCCTGAAAGCTGTGCCTCCCTGTCCCTAGAATACCTTGGGACTTATTGGAAAAAGAGAAATGCATAAAGCTCGCAGACATGGAGGGGGGTTGTCATAGTAACTGCTTTGCCTGCCAGGCAGTGTGCACAGCAACCAGAGCATCTGGTTGAGCACTATTCAGGAGAACAACCTATGGCCTCTGCCCACTGGGACCCTGCCTCAGGCATCCAGTGGGCACCTCTGGATGATTTCTACAACTGAGCCTTCAAAACCAACCAGTCCAGTGAGGCCGCCATGACCAAGAACAGCTGGATGCAGGTATAAGGGGTCTGGCCTGCTGCACGTGTCCTCCCCTTGCCTTGTGAGTGGTGGTGTGACCCCCTTATAAATCATGGACAATGTTTGCTGTGAGTGGCCTTAAGACAGCAGGGAATAACACTTCAAGACCTTTATTTAGGACCATGACCTTCCTTTTCTGCACCTTGCCATACATTCTACAAAGAAAGTTATTTATACCTATACAGGAAAGGAGTGTAGATAGCAAGTAGAAAAACTCTTTAGATCAGTGTGGGGAAAGACTGGGTACAAAGTAAGTAAGTAGCAAAGCAACCTTCTCAGGACTCCAGTTAGTTAAGTTTCTTCAGTTTATTCTACTTATGCCCATAACTCTTTTTTTAAAGAGTCTTGCAGGGCCAGCCAGATAATTCAGCAGACTAAAGCACCTGCTTAGGCAGGCTGAGCAACCGGGGTTCGATTGCTGGCATGCAGTGCTGGCCCCACCCCCGGGGAATGCTAAGATGATGACTGAGACTGGCTTGGTGGCACGTGCCTGTAATCCCAGTGCTTGGAAGGCTGAAAACAGGAGGATCTCTATGAATCTGATCTGTGTAGTGAGACCCTGTAGACCCTGTACTAAATACATTTTAAAAAATAAAAAAGGCTTAAAAATGAGTCTTGCTATATAGTTCACATTTTAAATTTATTTATTTATCTGTTTATTTATTTATTTGCTACAGGGTCTTGATATGCAGCTTGGACTCCTAGTGATTCTCCTGTCTCATCCTCCTCAGAGCTGGGATTATAGTCGTGCGCCATCGAGCCTGAGTCCTTGTGCTTGCCTGGCAGGTGTTTAGACCACAAAGCTACCTCCCAAGCCAGTCTTGCTATATAGTTTAGATTGGTTTTGAACTCACTATGTAACACAGGCTGGTGATCTTTCTGATTTAGCCTTCCAACTGCTGGGATTACAAGTGTGTGCTACTATACCTGGCTATAAGCCCCATAAATCTTAAAATTAGTCCCTGCATATATATATATATATATATATATATATATATATATATTTTTTTTTTTTTTTTCTTTTTCTTGGTGCTGTGGATTGAACATAACCCTTTTTTCTTTAAAAACATGCACACTACCACTGAGCTACATGTATGGCATCTGTGTATTTTATATGGCAACCTAAAAACACGGATGGATGGCACTGAACAATATATACACAAAAATTAAAATTTCTTTACACTACACATTTTCTACATGCTACTTCTTAAAAACAGTCTTGTAATGACTCGATGGTATAGGCTTATATTCCCAGCTCCTTGGGAAGTTGGGGAGAGCTCACCTGAGCCCTCAAGTTCAACAACAGCCTAGGCAACATAGTGAGGTCCCATCTCGAGAAGAAGCAGGGAAAAATGTACACATTATCCTAGAAAATCACAGAATACCATAAAGAGTCTAAGAAAGAAAAGTCAGGGGTAGAGAGCCTACCTTTTGAGATATTAAAATGTATCAGGAGCTAAGGTAACTAAAAGATATGTCACAGATACAGGACTAGATAGACATTAGTAGGACAGAATAGATAATCCAAAACTCAATTCTGGAAAACATGGGAATTTAATCCCATACAAAACAAAAGCACCATTTGAAATTAATTGGGAAAAAATAGCAAATGATTTTAGTACAACTGGGTAGTCTTCTATATGAAGAAAAAAGATCATCTCTTCTCATTCTTTTTTTTAATTTTATTTTAGGGAAGGGTCTCCAGGGTGTTCAGGGTCTCACTACTAGATAGGACTTGTAGTGATCCACCTGTTTATGGCCT